AATAACTATATGTGATAACAGTACAGGTATGTACCAACAAGTGGACTATACTAATAATTAATTACTAAATTTAATGTTAACTGCAGAAAATTAGGGCTGCTAGAAGGAGAGAAAGAATGGAGATGAAAGCAAGTCAGGTGCGGAGGGAAAGGGTAAAGGATGGCAGTAGTGGTGTGGTAACCTACCTCTGAGGAAGTGTAAAACCAGACCCTTAAATCAGTGTACAGTGTTGTGTGTAAATCAGTGTTACAGCAATTTAAAAATACATATACATTAAAACCAAAAATCTAATAAGGGTGTCAGCTGCTTCTACTGAAGTCATTTGCTTTCTATAATGATGTTAATCAGCTCATTTATATCCTAAAGTTTGTGCTGAAAGAAAAAAACTAAAAACAACTGAGTTTTTGATGGTCATTTTGCCCATGTTCACCTAATCACCTGCAATATACCCTCCCTGCCTCTCCCCCCCGCCACACACACAACTCACACTCACTTACTCTCTTAAGGTCCTATAAAGATTTTATGTATATATTTCATTCTTCCCTCTCTTGGATTCAAAGCTCTTGCCTTCCCTTGCAGAAATCTGGACAGAACTATACTTAATTGATAGTATGAAGATTTACTTCTAAATTGAATCTATTTTAACAAATCATACATAAATACCTAAATCTTTCAGAAGTGACCCTCCCTGGTGGTGCAACAGGTTAGGACGCAGCACTGCAAGCTGGCTGCAACCACTACAGTGCGAGTTCCATCCCCTGCCCTGGAGGTGACCACATGGTGTGGCAGACCTCTCCTGACCCGCCTGCTGTTGCCCTCAGCAGTGTACTTCATTGATCTGTCTGTTCTGCTCCCCACTCCGTCTTTGGTGAAGCCTCTCACTGCCCCTGCATCTCTGGCTTGTACCCTAGTTCTATATGAATAAATAAATAAATCTTAAAAAAAAATCTTTCAGAAGTAAGGTAAGCAAGCAATACAAAAAACTGTCTCAAGAGCCATTCCCCAATTCTCATTCACATGTTACCCACATGAAAAATCCATCAAATGGTATCCATTATGCAAATATTAAAAAAAAGATTTAAGGAAGCACTATTTAAGCATCATCTTAGAAATACTTTCTCAAATAAGGAGTCTCTCTCCTACAAATTCCTGGAAGAATACATAATATAACATCCTCTATATTATATTATATCCTCTGGATTTAATATAAGTCTTTTACAGTAATATTTCACCATTAACTGGCTCCTATATTCCACTATGTATTTCAGTCAAGTCTTTTTGCTTTTGAACTATTTCATAGCATGTTTAATTGACAAAAAATATTAGGAAGCAAATATTTTATTAAACCATATTAAAACTCATTGTAAAATGAGTATCCTTAAATATAATTCTTAGGTAAATATTAAGTAGCTAAAATTTAGCATGAGAGAGATGAAATGTATAAATCATTCCAAACAAGAAAAAGAACCACTATAACACAGTCATACAACTAATAAGGGAAGTCAATAAACTATAATACATACGGTTCATATAAACTCCATAGTTTTGAAGGCTAGTCTTCATTTTAAAATTTACTATTTACCTTAAAATGCAGTAAAACGGCTGCTACTTCTCTCATTCTGGAGATTTCACCTCTTCTCTGAGCACTGGTAAATTCCTGAATCAGCTGGCATTCTAAATCATGGTATTTACCTAAGAATTAAAAGAAAGTCACTCAGCTATGTGGAGAAAGACTAGTAAATATATATATTTACTAGTATATGAGTCCTTTATAAATATAAGGACTATGGTTCTGCCAACTTTTGAGAGAATTATAAACATAATATGAGATTATAGGCAGTGACTCCAGTCCCCATAATATATCATGATTGGAAAGAATAAAGCATACAAGGAAGTAAATAGTAAAATACTCATGAGACATAAGAATCTTCCAAATTAATAAAACAGCTGGGTTCTTGATAGGTTAGCTGCCATTTACCACTGTTACTTAAAACAACAACAACTGATTGGTGGAGGAAAAATCCTAAAAGCTGAAGTTATGGAAAGGGTGAGGAACACTAAACTCTTTACTGAAGTTCAGAGGCTTTTAGGTAAAGTATAAACAATGGTACACTCAATATCAAATTTCATGTTAAGATATATGTGATATTTGATTCACTGCTTTCTTAAGGGTTCTATAATTCTAAATGAACACCCAGCCTTTGGATTTGTCTGTAGAGGGTAGAAGCATTTCAAAGAAGTGTGATTATTAATAGCTATCCTTATTCTTAACACCACCTTTGAGAAAATATGTGATTCTTTAAACCTTTTATGCAATGGCTGCCTAACAGTGACCCAGACTACTATGGCATCTCTCTCTATACTGGTTTTTCCATAAACTAGAATGGTATGTCTAAAATATCCAAAGATTGGAAAGAATAAATCACAAACGGAGTAAAACAGGTAGTATTAATTCTCATATGAGCTTTGCTTTAAAAAGGAAAAGAACCTACTTTACAGAAAGAGAAATATATATAGATACAAAGCAATCTCCAAGATAGTCTTCAATTAAATACCTAGAGGTATAAAACTATTTATATAGTTTGCTACCAATTTAAAAGTAAATAATGATAGCAGAGCTACATTCTACACATGTATACACACACACACACACACACACACACACACACACACAAGATCTATGTCTTAATCATGTATATTCAAAGAATATTCAGGAAGAATACCCAAAAACCTGGTAATAGTTGTTGTAAGGAAGAGGCATCAAAATTCAGATGTGGTATAAGAGGATGACTTTGTTTTCATCATCTCGCCTTTTATTGTTTTTTTTTCCCCCTTCTACACAGTTTTATCACCTACTCAAAGCAATTAAGCAAAAGAATACAACTTACTTGCAATTTTGGATTTTACTTCTGAAAATCTGAAAGATAAAAATCAATGATGAAAATCATTATTTTTGAACAAAACTACCTTCATTACTTAAGATGTTAACAAAAGTGAAAACTAGTTCTGTGTGTATATGGGAACTCTGCAGTAAAGGTTATCAGAAAACAAGAAAGAAAAAGAAAGAGAACCTTCTCTGGTGGTGCAACAGGTTAAACCACAGCCAATGCACCAAAATTTTGATCCCCGGCCAAAGAGGTGACCCACATGGCGTGGCAGACCTCTCCTGACCCACCCACTGCTCCCCTAGGCAGTGTGTTTCAGTGGATTTGCCTGTTCTGCTTCCCACTTTGTCACTGGTAAATCTTCTCTCTTCCCTGCACCTCTGGCTTGCACCCCAGTTCTTCTATGCATAAATAAATCAATCTTAAAAAAAGAAAGAGGGTGATGAGTACCAACATGAAGGTTGCAAAGGGATAAAACTGAATTTGGGTGCTTCAGATTGGGTAGCTAATCCCTGTTTAGAGAATTCACATTAAGCAGTATCTTACTAAACAAGGAGGAGAGTTTTATATGATGCATTAGTCCAGATATTCCTAACATCGAGTTACTGTCCCTACTCACACTCACTGGCATTTTCAAATCACTTAATAGTTGTTTATTTCCCCTCTATGTTAAGACTTTTTCATGTAAAGTTCCATTAATGTTATTTAAAAGGGGGGAAAAAATGATCAAGCAACTATATAGAAATGATTTGTCTTAAAACTAGAAAAATAAAGTGGGAGCCATTAAAAAGAATTCAACAATGTACTTAGCATCTATTAAATCTTTGTAAACTGAGAAACTAAAAAAACATAAATTGCCACAAAAATAGAATTTTTAAAAATCTTACACATCAATGTACAAATGTACACCATGAAAATTTATTGAGACAGCCTATGGAATCAGTTTGAAAAAGGAAGAGTTCCCAGCAAAAGGGATACCAAAGAAAGATGAAGATGGTGCATCACAGAGGGCATGTAAGGTCCTAATGATCTTTATGAAAACATTAAATTACTTAGGATGTAAATATTCAACTCCAAGGTCTGATAGAGAGGCAAAAGCAAGCCTAAGAAAAAAGTGTACTTAAGAAGATGAGTATTTGCACTTTGCTTGGTAGAGGAAGAACAGGATGGACAGAGGGGTCGAAGAAATATGTACCTACTGTGAGTCTCACATTTTTACTCATTTAAGTAAATGGTCCAAATCTTACTTAAATAAAATTAGTAAACAGAACTTTTTTGGGTAACTACAAAAATCACTATTCATAAAGCAACCTGTGAGATTATTAAAAACAGTTGAATAATGACATAGAATAATTACTGCTTGTACTTTATGATGAACTCTCACTTAGTATTTGCAAGATAATGGTCAAGCTTTAAGTATAACAATACATTTACATTGTGCCTTTTCCTATATATCTTAAGTATTAACAAAAGAATAAACAGTCTCTTATATGGGAAGATAGCTTTCTCTCAGCTATCAAAAGGAAAACCACTACTACTAGTTTTATTAGAATGTGACATTCCATCCACAAAAGGAAATCATGTCCTTTGCAATGAAGTTTCTTTTAAGTTGAAGCCATTAATATCTGATACTAATAACCCTAGGTGCCTTTGTTCTAAAGAGAAGTTCTTAAACTGAAGTCCCCATGGAGGCTAAAGAGTCTAAAACTATGAAACTGTATGTGACAATTTACAGGTATCTAATTCTTAAATAAAATAATATGTATAGCTTTCATTAGCTTTTCAAGAGGCCGAAAGTCTGAAAACTCTCATCTAGAGATAACAAAAAGCAGCCAAACAACACCATGTTTAATCTGCCCGTTCCTACTTAGGTTATCCAAGTTCAACAAATGAAGATCTAGTATCTTAGTCAATTTCAAAATTCTCCATCAATTTTTTTCAGAAGAAAATGATAAGATTAAAATCACTTCGAAATATATTATTAAATTTAGATATTAAAAGATAATCTTTTTTCACTCAATTATTGTATATTGTACCAGATTCAAATTCTTATTAACTTAATGTGCAAAATCATACAGGGAAAAATAATTTAATGCTATAAATTATACCATTATGCAAATTAACTCCTGAGAAATACACTTGCCTATCAAAAGGTAACTCCTGGGCAATTAGGTGCAACTTCTGAATGATGTCTGCTGCCTCTTTTATCTGAGGGGAAAAAACCAGTTAATTGTTTTAAAACCTGATACATATAAAAATTTTGTATTTCAAAATAGTAATATTCCCTTATGTATGCCCACAGCCCTTTACCCAAACAATTTCCTTCCAAAACCCAAAATAGGGCTCTCCCTGGTGGCACAACAGATAAAAGTACAGCACTATGAAGCTATTTGCAACCACTGCAGCAGGAGTTCAACCCCTGCCAGGGAGGTGACCCACATGACATGGCAGACTTCTCCTGTCCCACCCACTGCTCCCCTCAGCATTGTATTTCAGTTAGCTCACCTATTCTCTTCCCCATTCTGTCTCTGGTGAATGCTCTCAACACCCCACTCCCCACATCTGGCCTTTACCCAGTTCTTCTATGCATAAATAAATAAATCATTAAAAAAAAAACACAACAAATCTTGTGAACAAAAGGAATAAATTTGCATATAGACAGTGACTCAATGAAACAAATTTTTGGCTGTTTCTGAAATCTTGTGATTTTGTATCACAGTCCTCTTCCAATGAAAACTGCAATCCAGGTTAAGTCTGAATAAACTCAAATCATTGCTGGCTGAAAGCAGAACCATCTTTTTTGTGTGAAACCCCCAAAATGAGGTTTATGAAAGTAATTCAGATCACACTGCTGTATATATCCCACTCTAAGCTAGTTTAATAAAATAAGAGTTCCTGTCAATTAATGAGCATGTAAATTACAAAACTTGTTCTAAAAGCAAAAATAAAGTTAATATGAAATCTCCTAAGTGACTATTTTACAGAAATGTGTGTATGTATTCAAACTGTAGAACTGAAGTACCCAAAGAGTCTAAAATGTTTTAAGTGCAGATGATATTTGACTGTGCTTACATGAATGGATAGGGTGTTATATAATGGTCACCTTGCTATGAGTTTTATTTTGGCACACCTTTTGTAACTGATTTTATGACCATCCACTTTTCTTTTACACTAAGATCTATAAATATTGAAAGGCTGATTTTATAGGCTTTTCCAATCTAATGTTAGACTTTCTAACATTAATATACATTTAGTACTTTGCTTAAGTACTTAAAGCAACACTATATAACAATAATCATGGCTAAATGATATTTATCTGGCAAACAATAGTGAATATAAAATTTCTGCTTCTCACCCAGTCAGCATGTCCCTCTTGTTTTCAGTTACTCCACTCACTCTATCCTGATGTACACGGATGTAATCATCACTGAGTTTATCACTTTTTACCATGCCATATAGTTGCACTAGCAATGTCCATCCCTCCTCCTCATCAATATCCTCTTTAGAAAGGACCTGCTTAGTGAGCAACCTATTCTATGTTCCCATCAAGAGTTTGTTCTTTTCTATTTTATTTACTAAGTGGATTCATTTATTTTCTTATACATTCTTGTTCTTTTAAGAGATGGAACTCCCACTATTTGTAAGCTGCACTTACTATTGTAAAGAGTAGCAGTAAATAATACTTATTTTTATTGAATTCTACAAAAGACATAGGCATCTTTTCAGAGTTATCTAAAAAATAAAAATTCTGTAAGCCTATAGTTTCTACTCATGAACATGGTGCTTAACTCAAATTGTACTTCTGTAATACTTAGCTTCCAATAGTCTACTGAGATATTCTATGGAATAAATTTGGAAAAAACAGAAAGTATAAATTCAATATATTAATGGATGTTACTGTGTATACATACTATCCAAAAGAATATGTCTTTTCATGTATTTTGATTTTCTCCCTCCCCCACCAAAGAAAGTGAGCTAAATGGCTTGCTTTCAAGTTTGTAGAGCAGCCAATGCCATATAGCTTCAGATAAGGATTGCATGACTAATGTTATTTAAAAATAATTTAACATAAAAATTCATATTTTTCAATTCTATTTGGTCCAAACAATGCTTTAAAAATCTTTATAAAAGACCTTTATTCAAATAATAAAACTAAAAGCTCTCAATCCCTTACACAGAAAGATATTTCAGTTTATTAATGATTTAGATTAGACTACCACCTCCCCATGGAATATAAACTGAATTAAAAAATGATAGAAATTTTGTTAATATTAAAAGTCAATTATGGAAAAAGACTTATAAACATAGTTAACTCAGCATTTTTATACCATAGATAATTTCATAAACAAAATGACAGGCAATCCAGTTAAAATTTGAATAAAAATGATTCATTAGCAATCTGTAGGCCAGTATACTGATTTTGAATAATATATACTTTAGAATAAAAACTTTCATAAGGCAGCTACTTAATGATTTGAAGTTTGACTGGCAAAACATAATTGCAGTTTAGAATTAGGGCATTTTTATTAATGATGTAATTTGCTTTTATCCTTCTGATAGTACTCACCTTTTCAGAATTTGTGAAAACATCAGATTTCAATTCCCCATCTAGAAACTCATTAAAATATTTCATCAGTTTTTGAGCCTCTACTGCCCGTTGTCTGGGTGTGTTTACCCCCTCCAACTGGTCTCCAAGGTGACAGACCTTGGTAGCTACATAGCTGATGTGCTCATCAAGTTCTTGGAAATGCTGGAAGGCAACCTAGGAAAAAATGTGCAATAAGTATAAAATATAACTCATAAGTTAATATGTAATAAAGCTAAACTATCATAAATCTCTAAACTAAGTAACTAAAGATAATACAGTTTCATATGATTTACCAAAAACAGTTGATATCCTTTAACAAGGCATGTGAAAACTTAGCCAAGTTGCAGACTTTTTATACATTTAACTATTAAAATAATCTTATTTAATCATGAATACATTTAAACAAATCCCTTATACCATTTGGTTTTAAATGACTCTGAAATACAATAAACTAAGTATCAAAAGGACAAGTCACCTAAATATCTCACGTGCTACTGCACTAAAATGAATCAAAATACTCACAATAAGTCACTGATAAAACACAAATTTTAACAAACATTTTTTTTGAATATTGAAAGAGCAATGTCACTATGGTAAATAAAATGGTCCTTTCCCAGTTTTGAAAGCAGGAATGACTGCAATAATTATTCTACCAAAGCAGATACATTACTTTCTAAAATATTCTTCCCCTTTTTCCATGACATACAGATTGCCCCACGGTAGATGAAAATGATGTACAATAAATGCACTTTTGTTCTAACGTTAAAAGGGGGAAAGCTACAAACATTTAATAAAGATTTCCTCTATGCTATGTATGTACTCCTCTACTACATGTATTTACATTTAATCCTTACAACAACCTAAATTATAGATTAAAAAATCAGAAAAATAAAGGTTAAGTTACTTGAGAATACACAATTACTAAGTGGTAGGAAAGAGTTTATTAGCCTAAGTATTATTATTATTATTATTATTATTATTATAAGGAAAATGCACTAGAAGTATTATAACTTATTACTTTTAATACTTAAAAACATGCTGTAATATAAATTACATATATATGGAATTTTCTCACATCCATATACGCTCAAGTAAAAGAATTGAAACTAATGAAATCTGAGCAGAAATCAGCTTGCAAATGACTAACACTGAAATAAAAATGGGCCCTGGGAAGTAACAGAGCTAAACAATGCTCTTAAACTACACCAGCATACAGCACTCAAGTCCAGGTATAAATTCCAGACAAAGTCTAGGGTCAAGAATGGCTAAGAAGCTTGATTTACCTAGGCCCATTTGGTTTTACTCCAAAATAAACTGAGGAAGAATTCTGCATCTGCTTTTCCTCCAGTTCTCAATTCGTTTAACTTTGGTGAAACTTACCAGATCAGGTTTCCTCTAGAGAAAAACTTGATCCAGTCAATAATTGGTCTGGTAATACTTTGTTTTATATTTAAAAGAGGATGAAAAAAAAAAAAAAAAAGAGGGTGAAAAAATAACTACCTAAATATCCAGGCTCATAAAGAATTCCTAAAAACACAGGTCTGCTAAAGTGTCATTCTTAAAAGTTTGCCTTACAGAGGAAGGATCACATTATTCTGGATACCACCCCATCCTAGAAAGGGACCACTATAAAATCAATGAATGATCAGCAGCCATCCAGTGCCAAGATTGGTCAATATGAATTCATAAACACTTTACTTCATAGAACAGGAATGCAAAGTTACTATATTTTAATTAGATATTTTTAAGAACTTAAAACTAGAAGGAAATAAAGACATCATAACCTATATAAACCATTCATTGCTTAGTTGAATGTTTACCTGATTGCTTTTCTGAAGCTCTTGTACCTTCTTGGCAAATTCCTTGGCTTCTTTCTGACACTGTTGCTCCAACTTCTCTACTTTTCTTTGAATCCTTTCATCCATTATCTGGAGTTCTTGAATATGATTTACAAATTCTTCTAGTAACCTAATAGGGCAAAACAGAGAAAAACCATTCCATCTATGACTAATCATTAGGAAGTGACCAGTTCATTTACAGTGTAAATAAAATATATATTTTTTTTATTTTAGTTTTTTATGCATGCAGAACTTGGGCACAAGTCAGAGGTGCGGGGGCAGTGAGAAGATTCACCAGAGACACTGTGGGGAGCAGAACAGGCAGATCAATGAATTACACTGCTGAGGGGAGCAGTGGGCCAGTCAGGAGAGGTCTGCCTTATCATGTGGGTCACCACCAGGGCGGGGGTCAAACTTGGACTGAGGTGGCTGCGCTAGCTTGCAGTGCTACATCCTAGCCCGTTGTGCCACCAGGGAGGGCCCGTAAATAAAATCTTAATGAGCATTTTCTGAGCTAAAGATATTCATTTTTTTCTATAGTGTCTTATTAGGAATTTGTTCAGTCAATAAAATCATGTCTTTCTGTAACTTCGTGACTTCATAACTTTTGCCCAGACCACGTAACTTTACACCAATACATCTAGTCTTTTAACTATTGACTTTTCAGTGGATTATCCGATTTGAATGAAAACCTCACCTAGAATCTCTATTAATGCCCAGCACAGAAATCAATTTTATAGAAACATTAAAAAAAGGCAAATGTGAATTCCAGGGTACAGTATTTTCTGTTTCCCCAATTTAAAACTACACATTAAACAAAATATTAAACATGATTTTATTTTAGAGGCATACCTACCCTGTCGATTTAGTACTTATTGGAGAAGACACTAAACTATAGTTCAAAAACAGTCATTCCCTCATACCATTTTAAAAAATTTCTCTAAAATAAAAGGAATATAAATGGATGGATGGGGGGAGTCAATCCCAAACTTCCAATGTTTGTGCCTTTTTACAGGCCAGTTGTCAACTAACATTCCTTTACTGAAAGTTGAAAGGAATTCCAACACTCACTTCTATTAACAAAACTGCACTAGAAATTGTCTACAGAAAGATAAATCTTTTTTTTTTTTTTTCAAAGATTTATTTATTTGTGCATACAGAACTGGGGTACAGGCCAGAGGCTCAGGGATGGTGAGAGGCTTCACCAGAGACAGAGTGGGGAGCAGAACAGGCAGATCGACGAAGTACACTGCTGAGGGGAGCAGTGGGCGGGTCAGGGGGGTTTTGCCCCACCATGTGGTCACCTCCGGGGCAGGCGGGGATCGAACTCATGCGGAAGCGGCTTTAGATTCTCAGTGCTGTGTTTTAACCAGCTGTGCCACCAGGGAGGGCCAAGATAAATCTTTTTTAACTTTACCTTTTAGGATCAAAAGCTTCAGGTCCTCCTCTAGAGCCTCCTCCTGGAGTTCTCCACACAAGACGTTCGATATACTCATCTGCCACAAACGGCTCCTAGTTTATAAAACAAGTATTATTTTTAAATGATTTACAGAAAAAAAAAACCTCAAATATCAACAAGGTTCTACTATAAGAGAAAGTAAAAGGGACCTGAATTAATTATTTAAATATATCTGTATTATTTAAATGTATAATGTTTTTTCAACTTCAAAAATCTTTAATAAATTACTTAATAAAAACTGGGGTATTAAAATATTAGAACAGTATTCTAATCAGCTGGAACATCCGACTGGGAAATGAGCAAAGAACACAGGCAACTGAAAGAATGAATATACATGGTTAAAAAGTACAAAAACATGCAGCCTCACTGTTAATCAAATAAGGTAAAATCATCACATGTTTTTTAACTTCACAAACTGACAAAGATTTTTTTTTAGCTTTTGGGATTTTTTTTTTGTTACAATATGCAACACAGGAGAGGGTAAGCTAAAACTCCTACTCTCAATATTTTTAGAAATGTTAACAGGTATATTTTGGGAAAACATTGGATAACAACTTGATAACACCAAACAGGTTACAGATGTTCATATTCTTCAACCCAGTAATTCTAGTTTTAAAAATCTGCAAGAAAAGCAGGTATGAATGGAAAAATTTTCAGTGTATATGCATAATAGTGAAAAATTGTTTATGTAATCAACAAAATCATTATTGAAAAATTATGGCAACCTTAAAGGATGAAAATTATTCCTATTAAAGTCATGGTGTAAAATTAATGTTATAAGAAAATTTCTCATATGGGAAAATGCAGGATTCAAAATGCTCATGGGAAAATGCAGGATTCAAAATTTTCTAAATTTTCCCAGAAAAAAATTATAAAGAAAAGATTATTGGGGCAGAAAGCCCAATCAAGAAAATAAACATGCAGGTGTTCACCATCCGTTGATTATGAATTTTTAAGACTAATACACATCAATTTACACTCCCATACTACCTCCTTTCATGTAAATGAATAGCATAAATCGCCTCCCACTTAGCATGTAATTTAAACTAGTAACATCTGCTGGTGATTGTAGTTTGCATTTTTTATCTGTGAAATTTTCTATCTGTTCATCATACTTTAAAAATATATTTTCACTAATAAATACTTAGATTCTAATATCCTGTTAGACTTTAGAATTAAAAGATATATAAGATACTGACCCTTGAGGATCTCATAGCCAAATAGAATATATAGAGGGAAGAATGCAAGAATATAATCAATAAAATTTTTGATGCATGTACAAACTTCACTGTTAACACTGAGTGACTAATAGTTGGGAGGTGGATATGGGTTACTGTGAATTCAGCAAATGTCTGCCAAGCAGCTGTCACTTACTGGACACTATGGTAGGTAACAAAAATATGGATATGAACTCAATACAGAGTCCCTGCAAGTTCTCACAGAAATGATTTAGGTAAGAATGTCAACACTTAACAATTAATCACAGAAATAACACTAGAATTGTGATAAATGTGATAAAGAAAATTTCTGGATGCTCTAATCGGATCTAACAGGAACAGAGATGATGGGAAAGCAGTGAGGGATGGAGTTAAGATTGGCAAGAAGTGGGTGTAGCAACAGGAAAACTTTTTGCAGATATGACATTTAGGCTGGAACCAGAAGAAAAAAATTAGACAGACAAAAATGGAACAAGTAGTTTTCCATACCATTAGAGAAAGGGAAGACAGAACTAACCCATTATGGAAACTGAGAAGCAAGCATGGACTAGACATCAGAGACCACACATGAAAGGATCTAGAGAGAGGTGATAATCAAGACCAAAGTGATAATCTTGTCCCTTTTACCATCTTTATTATAACTAAAAACAAAAACAAAAACAAAAAAACCCAGTAAACCAGTTCATCAGCTGCTATAAGAGACGTGAAAGGAGTATCATTTTGAATTAGAATAATTATCAGAATAAAAAGAGGAATAACAATAACATCTTACATGACACTTCAAAAGCATTATCTTATTTACTACATCGGTATTACCTATTAGGGTAATATATTTTATCCCCACTTTATGAAGATGAAGTAACTAAGATTGAGAGAGATAAATTACTTGCTGGCACTTTACATATTTTAAGTCTATGAGGTAAGGTTCTATTAACATTGACTCACTTTTTATACTTGTGAAATTCTGTGATACAAAAAGGTTATATAATCCAAGTTCACATAGATTTATCTGATCTCAATGATCCAAGTCTTCACTTCTGGTAAAATCAAGAGCCTTTCCTTTAAAAGAGACTAAATCAATTGAGAAAGTAGTCAGCTCTCCCAAAAGCCCACAACACTTTCATTAAATAAATAGTAAGCATGCTCCCTTTTTCCTGTTACTTTTGGGCATATATAAAATTTTCACATATATTTACTCTATGTGAGCAGTTAATCAGAATTCTTATGTGTTATTTTTCTTAGTCATTGAATAGCTGTAGTTTTTAATGGAACATGTTATACTGCTCATTAATTTCACTGTACCAGTTTACTAAATGATGTATATCCAAAAACTTATAAGCTGACAAATAAATATTATATGGTGGGGGAAAAAGCAGGTTATTTTGCATATGAAATATTTCCAATTCTCTCAAAATACAGCCTCTCCCTTCATTCAACAAATACTGAGAGCCCACTGCATGACAGAGACTATTCTGCCCAGGATACAGCAGTAAGGAGAAGGAGAAAAATCTCAGCTCCTTTGGACAACATGAAGGACAGTGAGAAACAAATGAGCAGATACATGATAAAGCAGTAAGAACTATGAAGAAAATTTAGGAAGGACAGAAGGTAATGGATAAGAATGAGATTTATTTAGTAACAGTGATCAGGCAAGGCCTCTCTAAGAAAATAAATGTTAAGCCAAGACCTGAATGCAGATAATGAAAAAGCCCCCACCTGGATGAGGAATGTTCAAAGTACAGAAAACAACCTTAGTATGCAAGCAATGACAAGAGGCCTGCACGACTAGAGCAGAGTGAACAATGGGGAGAACAGGTATGGATGAGGCCAAGGCAGGTAAAATACTAAGAGTTGTAACTGGTACCAAGGTTTTGTAGGATGTACCATTACATATTCTTTGCTATTAATTGACGAAAAGGCCAGGTTCCAGGAGTAAGAACTCTATAATCTGCTGGCAAATACATGCCGCAATATCCTAGTATTTCTTCTCCAAAATAATAGCTGCAACTATTTACTTGAGAAACTGAGCTTTTGGGAGAAGAAATACTCAAAATATTTTGAAGTCTGTTCGATATAAAGTTCTAGCTGACAATATTTAATTGACTTAAAGCATCACTGACTCAACAGAGTACACATGGGAGGCAAGTAAACAGCCTCCTAGCCAAAGCCCACTATCAGTCAATGGGACCATCAGTCAACTAGGCATAATTTCCCTGGTTTGCAAAATTAATATAGGAATCGATGATCACTCTCACATGGGATCCTTGGTCTACAAAATAAAGCTATTATAGTAGTGTAGCCCAGGTAGAAATCTCTGGAACTGCTTCCTCTTTACGGAACTTTATAAAAAACTCTAAAGTGAGGATCAGTAAACTTCTTAAAAGGCCTGATAAAAAAATATTGGGGTGGGGGTGGAGTGGGGAATGGGATCAAAAATGGGGGGGGAAGGGAGGGAAATGCACGGGACTATGGTGGTGGCACAG